ATACCCTATTCTAACTATTAAGGCTCCTATACATTACGTCCGGAAACTTCAACCGCAGGCCATAAGCTTCCACCCCAAACTGTACAGCGTCAGCATGTGACACCAAACAAACCGTGAACCCTCAATACCGCCCACAGCGCATGAACCAGGAGTGACACTTAGAGGTTTGGGGGTATGGCTTACCATCCTTGTATTGCGGAGCCCTTTTGAAAAGCATCACAGCGCTTTGAGGCTTCTCTTTCCCAAAGGGTCCAAGTATCATTATCGTACGTACTTAGTAGAATTTGGCCCCAAAAGTATATACTATACTAGTACTTGGACCCTTTGGGTTTTTGGGTTCTCTATGGCTTCCCGTGCAGTAAGAGTTCAGAAAGGCGAGAAAGGCAGGCTCGGGGCTTAAGATATGGTTTAAGGTCCACGGTGTAGGGTTTAGGGTTTAGGGTTTGAAGTTTAGGGTTGAAGGTTCACGGTGTAGGCTTTGGTTCACGGTGCAGGGTTTAGGGTTCAGGATGTCTCTTCGGTGCATATTTTCTTTCTTTAGGGCGGCATAATGCGAGATGCCAGCCATAAGCCCTAAACTGAACTTCCATACAACTGACCAGACTCTGAGGAGCTATGTATGTTGTCTGGGCATAGCACGGGCCCTTCTTCATGGCGAGTCTTGCAACTGAGGTAAGCAAGTCAAGCAAGTCCGCTACGAGCCTTGCGACAAAAGGAAACATCTGCGATATTAGCTGCATTTATGCTTCTATGTTGGAGGCTCTGATGTGGCTCGAGTTGGCGATTTCGGCGCTATAGGGTGCAAGTGTCTAAGTATCTGTGCAAAGCGCTATAACTAAAAAGTTGGGCAACCAAAGGAGTTTGCCTTTTCAGTGGTACTTCACCCTCAGAGGGCTTTAGCAACTTCGGAGCCTGAAGAACTAGAATAAGGTTCCAGGGAACATTGCGCAAGTAATATTCAAACCTTTACATTGAAGTACGATTCAAACCTTTGCATTACGTGCGCCCTGTGTTGAACATGATGCTGCCAGAAAACCTTAAATCCTAGACCCTAAACCCTAAGCCTTTATAAGCCTATAGAACCTCAGCGCCATCCTAGAAACCCCAAAGGTCCGAGGTACCGCTACGGGCGGATACTTTCCCAAATCGTAGTAATGATGCCTAACATATAGAAACCCTACTTCCGGCACTTAGGTTGTTACATAGGTTCCCTTTAATGGAACCCAAAAGCCCACAACCTTAAAGGAACACTTAATGGAACCCATAGTAGGTATATCGGACCCTGTGGGAAAGGGTGGGAGGTCTCAGGCACCCACCACGTGCCGTGTGCCATCTTCATCCTCCGAGATCGCCATGACCTGGCTTCGTAAGAGACTCAAAAATCCCTTAATTTAGGAATCTACCTTAAATTATAGTAGGATCCCTAATGAGATTTATGATATATTCCTTAATTAAGGGGTATTGGAGTCTCTGGGTTCGTAAGAGACTCCAACATCCCGTAATTAAGGAACTTCCCTGTCAAGGCTCCTTTATGGGTTTCGGAAAAGGGTACTATAAGAATTAAAGAACATACCTGAAATCACCAAAACCAACCCCTCATACCCCTAAGCCCTAAACCATCCCTGATCTTGTAAAGCTCGCAGGTGCCGAGGTGAGAATGGCTATTGAGGGTCTAGCAGTCTAGCACCTAGAACGCGGCAAGTTCACGCAAGCAAGCCGCAGGCGTGCTGAATTTATATAGGCTTTAGGGTTTAGGAAATTAGGGTTTAGGGGCTTAGGGTTTAAGACTCTGAGACCGTGCTCCGATTTTTCGAACCACTTCCTATTTCTGAATTCAGGGACCCGAAACACGAATGCCATCTGGCGGTCTCCGGCTTAGGGGTTTATAAACTGCTTCATGCTTGCGTTTAGGTTTAGGGTTTAAGGTTTAGGGGTTTAGGGGTTTAGGGTTTAGGGTTTACCATCAACCCTAAACCCTAAACCCCACCTAAGCCCTAAACCCCAAACCCGGAACCCCAAACCCTGAGCAAGGTGTAGAGCAACCCAGAGGCCTGAATCATGAACGGTTCAGGGTTTAGGGTTTAGGGTTTAGGGTTTAGGGTTTAGGGGGGCCTACATATCATAGCTAGGGCTGTGGAGCGTGACGTAGGGTCCTAAGGGGTTTTGGGTGGGATATTAGGCTACAATGTGAGCAGGAAATATGAACGGGACAATATTATTATAAAGACCCCCCCCCATCGTATCATGCTGTAGTTTACAAAACTTGGAAGACTGGCACTTTTGACTCGTCCGACTTCGGCATTTTAGTTTTTCCCTTGAGCAACAGCACTGCCCGTCTATTCAGGACTATACCTGAAATCATGAGTAGGATCCCCCCCCCCCCAAAGTTCAGGTATCTTCTTGGATCTTAAAGAGTTTGGCAGTCTGCGGGTACCGCATAGGTAGCTGGGCATCCAGCACTTGTCCCCCTAAACCCTAAACTTAACCCTAAACCCCCCAAACCCCAGACCCCTAAACCCCTCCCCAAAACCCAAAACCCCACAACCCTAAACCCCTAAACCCCTAAACCCCTACCCTAAACCCTAAACCCAAAACCACACAACCCTAAACCCCTAAACCCCTAAACCCATCCAGCACTTGTTCTACTTTCGCGCCTGTCGCGTCGATGCACGCTTGACTCGCTGTTGCATGGCCGCGAGTTTCTCTAGGATCCAGGTGTCCTTTTAGGGCTTAGGGCTTAGGGCTTTGGGCCTTGGGGGTCGGGGTTTAGGGTTTATAGGGTTTAGGGTTTAGGGGTTAGCATGATTTAGGACCTTGTTGCTTTTTTGGGGTGTAGGGTGGGGATCAGGGTCTAGGTTTTTGGTCTGAGGTACAGAGTTTGGAGGCTTAAATCCTTGGGTCCTACGTCATAAACCGGCTGTGGGCGTAGGAGCTGGGATTGGCGGCAGAACTTGAACTTTCGGATGTCGGGCTTGCCACATGTCTGAGGGCTTAGGTCATGCACAGCAGAGCTCTTTACGGTTTCGTGCATGTAAGGCCTAGGGTTTACATAAGGTTCAGGGGCCGAAGCGAGTCCTATACAGCGACAAGACAAAATCCTAAACCCTAAACCCCATATAGTCCCTAAACCCAGAAACCCTAGTTAAACCCTCCTGAAACCCAATCAGTAGTCCCCAACTAAATCCTAAACCCTAATCCTTGATCCCTGATTCCTAATCCTCAAACCTTGAACCCTAAACCCTACAGTGAAATCGAAGCCTGCGAAACGTAGTTTGCGTGACCAGAATAAGGATCTACAACAAGTAATGTCCATAAAATAGTTGCTCAAAAGACCACTATGTCCTGATTATAGTAATAACTTCAATAACATACCGTCCTTCTTCCAGTCACTTACCTGAACCCAAACCTTTTTCACGTAAACCCTAGATCCTACATCCTCCAATAACTAAAACTCCTTATCAAGAGCCCAGAAATTTCCCGGATTATCGTAATAACTTAAACAACATATTACTACCTTAACCTACCAAAACCTACTTTTTTGTAGGGTTCTTATAAATTCCATATTAGGGTTTATAATAAGAACCCACAAAAAAGTAGGTTTTGGTAGGTTAAGGTACACTAGCATTAAGTAAAACTCCTTATTAAGAACCAAGAAATTTCCAAGTGCCTCTCCCTTGAGCTCATCAGGATCCGTCACGTCATCCGGGTCCACGTAGGTATCCTCATCCACAATCCTCGGGTCTGAGAGTTTTTTTTTTTTTTTAAGGGCCCTTTTCCAACTGCAGTACAGGTCTGAGAGGGTTTAGGATTTAGGGATTTAGGGGTTAGGGCTTAGGGTTTGGGATAAGTGCAGAGGCTTTACAAATGCACGAATTGTACCGTCGGGGCCCTGAGATGCCATCAAAAGATGATGTACTATCGGGGCCTTGATAAGGTTGGTAATTATTGAAGCTGTTAAAGTGAATACTTAGCGACACGTCGGTTTCGGATAGTACTTACGCAGGACACTATTTGAGAGAGTATATGATTGTGGAATGAGGGCCCTAAAGACCATTCCTATCAAGGTTTTGGGGACCTAGCTCCATAGCTGTGGTAATACACTACATATGGAAGAGGGAAGGAAGGAGAGAGAGACAGAGAGAGAGAGAGAGCGAGAAATAGAGAGAGAGAAGGAAAAGGGATACTAGAAAGAAGAGACGGAGAGAGAGAGAGAATGAGACAGATTGACAGCCCAAAGGTGAATATGACTAACTAGAATCTCCTAACCATGAACATCGACATTACGGTCAACTTATGTCGCCATGCATAAACTTGTTTGCCAGCCCCGGCTTGTTCTTGAACTCCATTCAAAGATTTATCTGCTTTGATCCTCTTCATGTAACCATTCTGGCATTCATGGTAAGCCAAGTGGGGGCTTGCGATCGATGACTCTTTGCAAGACGAATATAAACATGTAGCACTGATACATGGTGTCCGCACAAAGGCTCCTTGCTTGAGCTCACTTCCTGTCCGTCGGTCAGTCTGTCCGTCTGTTTTGTGTGCTTGTTTGCTTGTTGGAGTGTGCACCTTTGTGTGTTTGTCTTTGCTTGTGTGTCTAACGACTGTTGATTGCTTCTTTAATTCTGGGAGGGTGCATGTGTGCGTGCGCGTTGTGTGCGCTGGCTCTGCGCACTAACAGATCAGCCCTGCTCAAAGAACGGACTCTTAACCCTACGCCTTTCACATGAAATCTCTTTCACAAGACATCATGCGCAGGAGTGGCTACCCGTGATGCAGATGTCTCATATGTCTCTCCCAGAAGTTGAGCTTCTACCACCGCAGTTGGGATCGCCCCAAGTGTGCAGCACTCCGTTTGCGGTTCCCGCGGCAAAGGCACGGGATGTTAGATGACTGCTTTGCTGTCGCCCGTCGCCCCCGCACAGTGGATCGCCCCAGGTGTACAAAAGATCACTTTCTGTCACTGCAGCAAATGCACGGGAGGTGGACTGGATCATCTTCACTGGCTCGACCAGATGCTCTGTGACTGCTTTGCTGTCGCCCCCGCACTGTCGATCGCCCCAGGTGTACAAAAGTCCAATTTCTGTCACTGCAGCAAATGCATGGGAAGTAGACTGGATCATCTTCACTGGCTCGACCAGATGCTGTGTGACTGCTTTGCTGTCGCCACCGCTTTGAGGATCACCCCAGGTGTACAAAGATCCACTTTCTGTTACTGCGGCAAAAGCGCGGGAAGTAGACTGGATCATCTTCACTGGCTCGAATAAATCCTCTACGACTGCTTTGCTGTCGCCACCGCTTTGAGGATCACCCCACGTGTACAAAGATCCACTTTCTGTCACAGCAGCAAAAGCACGG